CAATAAAACAACTAGAAGGTCAATCACTTGGTCCCTTCAATAAAACAACTAGAAGGTCAATCACTCGGTCCCTTCAATAAAACAACTAGAAGGTCAATCACTCGGTCCCTTCAATAAAACAACTAGGTCAATCACTCGGTCCCTTCAATAAAACAACTAGAAGGTCAATCACTCCGTCCCTTCAATAAAACAACTAGAAGGTCAATCACTGAGTCCCTTCAATAAAACAACTAGAAGGTCAATCACTGAGTCCCTTCAATAAAACAACAAGAAGGTCAATCACTCGGTCCCTTCAATAAAACAACTAGAAGGTCAATCACTTGGTCCCTTCAATAAAACAACTAGAAGGTCAATCACTCGGTCCCTTCAATAAAACAACTAGAAGGTCAATCACTCGGTCCCTTCAATAAAACAACTAGGTCAATCACTCGGTCCCTTCAATAAAACAACTAGAAGGTCAATCACTCCGTCCCTTCAATAAAACAACTAGAAGGTCAATCACTGAGTCCCTTCAATAAAACAACTAGAAGGTCAATCACTGAGTCCCTTCAATAAAACAACAAGAAGGTCAATCACTCGGTCCCTTCAATAAAACAACTAGAAGGTCAATCACTTGGTCCCTTCAATAAAACAACTAGAAGGTCAATCACTCGGTCCCTTCAATAAAACAACTAGAAGGTCAATCACTCGGTCCCTTCAATAAAACAACTAGAAGGTCAATCACTCCGTCCCTTCAATAAAACAACTAGAAGGTCAATCACATCAGTCCCTTCAATAAAACAACAAGAAGGTCAATCACTGAGTCCCTTCAATAAAACGACTAGAAGGTCAATCACTTGGTCCCTTCAATAAAACAACTAGAAGGTCAATCACTCCGTCCCTTCAATAAAACAACTAGAAGGTCAATCACTCCGTCCCTTCAATAAAACAACAAGAAGGTCAATCACTCGGTCCCTTCAATAAAACAACTAGAAGGTCAACAAGAAGGTCAATCACTCGGTCCCTTCAATAAAACAACTAGAAGGTCAATCACTCGGTCCCTTCAATAAAACAACTAGAAGGTCAATCACTTGGTCCCTTCAATAAAACAACTAGAAGGTCAATCACCGAGTCCCTTCAATAAAACAACTAGAAGGTCAATCACCGAGTCCCTTCAATAAAACAACTAGAAGGTCAATCACTGAGTCCCTTCAATAAAACAACTAGAAGGTCAATCACCGAGTCCCTTCAATAAAACAACTAGAAGGTCAATCACTGAGTCCCTTCAATAAAACAACTAGAAGGTCAATCACCGAGTCCCTTCAATAAAACGACTAGAAGGTCAATCACTCGGTCCCTTCAATAAAACAACTAGAAGGTCAATCACTGAGTCCCTTCAATAAAACAACTAGAAGGTCAATCACTGTCCCTTCAATAAAACAACTAGAAGGTCAATCACTCCGTCCCTTCAATAAAACAACTAAAACAACTAAAACAACTAGAAGGTCAATCACTGTCCCTTCAATAAAACAACAAGAAGGTCAATCACTCGGTCCCTTCAATAAAACAACTAGAAGGTCAATCACTGAGTCCCTTCAATAAAACAACTAGAAGGTCAATCACTGAGTCCCTTCAATAAAACAACTAGAAGGTCAATGACTGTCCCTTCAATAAAACAACTAGAAGGTCAATCACTCCGTCCCTTCAATAAAACAACTAGAAGGTCAATCACTGTCCCTTCAATAAAACAACAAGAAGGTCAATCACTCGGTCCCTTCAATAAAACGACTAGAAGGTCAATCACCGAGTCCCTTCAATAAAACGACTAGAAGGTCAATCACTCGGTCCCTTCAATAAAACAACTAGAAGGTCAATCACCGAGTCCCTTCAATAAAACGACTAGAAGGTCAATCACTCGGTCCCTTCAATAAAACAACTAGAAGGTCAATCACTGAGTCCCTTCAATAAAACAACTAGAAGGTCAATCACTTGGTCCCTTCAATAAAACAACAAGAAGGTCAATCACTCCGTCCCTTCAATAAAACAACAAGAAGGTCAATCACTCCGTCCCTTCAATAAAACAACTAGAAGGTCAATCACTCAGTCCCTTCAATAAAACAACTAGAAGGTCAATCACCGAGTCCCTTCAATAAAACGACTAGAAGGTCAATCACTCCGTCCCTTCAATAAAACAACTAGAAGGTCAATCACTCAGTCCCTTCAATAAAACAACTAGAAGGTCAATCACCGAGTCCCTTCAATAAAACAACTAGAAGGTCAATCACCGAGTCCCTTCAATAAAACGACTAGAAGGTCAATCACTCGGTCCCTTCAATAAAACAACTAGAAGGTCAATCACTGTCCCTTCAATAAAACAACAAGAAGGTCAATCACTGTCCCTTCAATAAAACAACAAGAAGGTCAATCACTCCGTCCCTTCAATAAAACAACAAGAAGGTCAATCACATCAGTCCCTTCAATAAAACAACAAGAAGGTCAATCACTGAGTCCCTTCAATAAAACGACTAGAAGGTCAATCACTTGGTCCCTTCAATAAAACAACTAGAAGGTCAATCACTCCGTCCCTTCAATAAAACAACTAGAAGGTCAATCACTCCGTCCCTTCAATAAAACAACAAGAAGGTCAATCACTCGGTCCCTTCAATAAAACAACTAGAAGGTCAACAAGAAGGTCAATCACTCGGTCCCTTCAATAAAACAACTAGAAGGTCAATCACTCGGTCCCTTCAATAAAACAACTAGAAGGTCAATCACTTGGTCCCTTCAATAAAACAACTAGAAGGTCAATCACCGAGTCCCTTCAATAAAACAACTAGAAGGTCAATCACCGAGTCCCTTCAATAAAACAACTAGAAGGTCAATCACTGAGTCCCTTCAATAAAACAACTAGAAGGTCAATCACCGAGTCCCTTCAATAAAACAACTAGAAGGTCAATCACTGAGTCCCTTCAATAAAACAACTAGAAGGTCAATCACCGAGTCCCTTCAATAAAACGACTAGAAGGTCAATCACTCGGTCCCTTCAATAAAACAACTAGAAGGTCAATCACTGAGTCCCTTCAATAAAACAACTAGAAGGTCAATCACTGTCCCTTCAATAAAACAACTAGAAGGTCAATCACTCCGTCCCTTCAATAAAACAACTAAAACAACTAAAACAACTAGAAGGTCAATCACTGTCCCTTCAATAAAACAACAAGAAGGTCAATCACTCGGTCCCTTCAATAAAACAACTAGAAGGTCAATCACTGAGTCCCTTCAATAAAACAACTAGAAGGTCAATCACTGAGTCCCTTCAATAAAACAACTAGAAGGTCAATCACTGTCCCTTCAATAAAACAACTAGAAGGTCAATCACTCGGTCCCTTCAATAAAACAACTAGAAGGTCAATCACTGTCCCTTCAATAAAACAACAAGAAGGTCAATCACTCGGTCCCTTCAATAAAACGACTAGAAGGTCAATCACCGAGTCCCTTCAATAAAACGACTAGAAGGTCAATCACTCGGTCCCTTCAATAAAACAACTAGAAGGTCAATCACCGAGTCCCTTCAATAAAACGACTAGAAGGTCAATCACTCGGTCCCTTCAATAAAACAACTAGAAGGTCAATCACTGAGTCCCTTCAATAAAACAACTAGAAGGTCAATCACTTGGTCCCTTCAATAAAACAACTAGAAGGTCAATCACCGAGTCCCTTCAATAAAACAACTAGAAGGTCAATCACCGAGTCCCTTCAATAAAACAACTAGAAGGTCAATCACTGAGTCCCTTCAATAAAACAACAAGAAGGTCAATCACCGAGTCCCTTCAATAAAACAACTAGAAGGTCAATCACTGAGTCCCTTCAATAAAACAACTAGAAGGTCAATCACCGAGTCCCTTCAATAAAACGACTAGAAGGTCAATCACTCGGTCCCTTCAATAAAACAACTAGAAGGTCAATCACTGAGTCCCTTCAATAAAACAACTAGAAGGTCAATCACTGTCCCTTCAATAAAACAACTAGAAGGTCAATCACTCCGTCCCTTCAATAAAACAACTAAAACAACTAAAACAACTAGAAGGTCAATCACTGTCCCTTCAATAAAACAACAAGAAGGTCAATCACTCGGTCCCTTCAATAAAACAACTAGAAGGTCAATCACTGAGTCCCTTCAATAAAACAACTAGAAGGTCAATCACTGAGTCCCTTCAATAAAACAACTAGAAGGTCAATCACTGTCCCTTCAATAAAACAACTAGAAGGTCAATCACTCCGTCCCTTCAATAAAACAACTAGAAGGTCAATCACTGTCCCTTCAATAAAACAACAAGAAGGTCAATCACTCGGTCCCTTCAATAAAACGACTAGAAGGTCAATCACCGAGTCCCTTCAATAAAACGACTAGAAGGTCAATCACTCGGTCCCTTCAATAAAACAACTAGAAGGTCAATCACCGAGTCCCTTCAATAAAACGACTAGAAGGTCAATCACTCGGTCCCTTCAATAAAACAACTAGAAGGTCAATCACTGAGTCCCTTCAATAAAACAACTAGAAGGTCAATCACTTGGTCCCTTCAATAAAACAACAAGAAGGTCAATCACTCCGTCCCTTCAATAAAACGACTAGAAGGTCAATCACTCCGTCCCTTCAATAAAGTCCCTTCAATAAAACGACTAGAAGGTCAATCACTCCGTCCCTTCAATAAAACAACTAGAAGGTCAATCACTCAGTCCCTTCAATAAAACAACTAGAAGGTCAATCACCGAGTCCCTTCAATAAAACAACTAGAAGGTCAATCACCGAGTCCCTTCAATAAAACGACTAGAAGGTCAATCACTCGGTCCCTTCAATAAAACAACTAGAAGGTCAATCACTGTCCCTTCAATAAAACAACTAGAAGGTCAATCACTCGGTCCCTTCAATAAAACGACTAGAAGGTCAATCACTGTCCCTTCAATAAAACAACTAGAAGGTCAATCACTCCGTCCCTTCAATAAAACAACTAAGACAAGAATCTAAGAGACTATTTCATTTATTCACATCATGAATATCATCCAAGGTTCTGTGGCTACCCCTACAACTCATAATGTACAAAGAAAACAGAAATATTTAACCAAAGCTTGGAAACATAAAGTAATGATATCAAATTGATGACAATATCTTTTCCCTTTAAAATGTGAGTAAATTTAAACAGACTGAAAAATAAATATGTTTTTAAAAGTTCTGAACTTTTTACCAATAATGACTCAATTTAAACATCATCTTGGCCATTCATCAAATTTCATCATGAATGAGTTTGACAATGTGCTGCAAAAACAATTATATCACAATTATAGAAAATTTATACAATTTAAAACATCTGTTTTTGTAGTACCTAAAGATCTGATATTGATTTCATGATGTTCATTGTTTGTTGTGCATACAGACAAACGTGTAACCAACAGATGACGCAAAAATTATACAAGTATGAAGCTCATACTACAAGGTCTGTACCAAATCATTTGATACATGTATAGTTTTTACAAACTTGTTCAGGTATGATATACATTGAATGATATGAATATTTGATAAAAATAATAGATAAATATACATGATATGCACACAATAAATCAAATTTGATCGATACAGACATGGTGAGGTATAGGAAACATACACACTATAACACCTTATATGATTGTCTTATTTTGACCAAATTTAAAATGGAAAAAAATCTAAAGCAATGAAGAAAAAAGTAAAATGTTTCCACAGTTAATGATCTTTCATGTAGATTCTATAGGAATGTAAAATTTTCATTCTTTCATCACAGTAAGGTGAAGTATAAAGTCACACATTTCTATACTTCAAGCACAAACATGTATACAAATTTTTGTACAGGAAGTCAGTTCTATTATAGATAGAAAAATATCCATGCACTAACCAACAAAACAGGCCTTAAAGACAGATAATTAACATGGCATCATGTACTACCATCAAAAACAGAAAATAAAAGCTTCATATCTTTAGGAAAGGAGTCCTCCTCGAAGCTTTTGCATCCTAATTTTAATGGATAAAATTGATTTTTTATCAAAATCAATATTTGGGACTATTATCAGTTTATATATAACACTCCTGAGGACTGGGATAACACACACTTTCAAATGTAAACATCCTTTATATCTCATACTTATCTACCGTCTTTAAAGTAGTGGACCCAAATGCGAATGACCTTATTTCTGAATGATATTGAATTAAAGTGAATCAATATTCACCTGGGGATCTGATGAAGACAATGAAAAAGGTCACTCAAAATTACTACAGGTGACAACTTTAAGGCATTCTCTACATATCTATCAGTAGCAGAAGTACATTCCTAAATATTAATTCAATTGTCCAATTTGAATATTTCAGGGAAGGTTTAACACAAAAGTCACTATGGTCAGACTGTATGTGTCATCTCAGGTGTCCAATATATAACACACCATATACACCATATAACAAAACTTCATTCTTTTCTACAAATTGTTAGATGACTACACTTCATAATGCTGTTAGTATTAAGAAGCTTAAGAAAAATACTGAGCAATATGAACTTTACAAAGGGACAAAATATCTTCAGATTGTTTGTAGCTTACTGACATCTTGTTTTGGCTTGTTTTCAAAAGATTCCTACAGTTGATCTTACAGATCGTTTTAATATTGAAAAGCAAAAACAGCCATCGCTTATTATGCAAGAAACTAATTTTAGCACTGGTATTGTCACATACCCTGAAATAAAAATTATGAAAGATAATACCAAACTTTTACTATATTTCATTTGTTGCTCCCTCTGTACCAGATAGTTTACAAACGGACTGTATCGGTTTTCATATTTTCCTCAAACCATTTAACAGTCTCCTTGATAGCTGAAAAAAAAAATTTAAATAAATTAAAGATTGTGTTCAAGAATAGCAACCAACGGAAAATAATCAAGGATATATTACTGTTCTGAGGCAAATAGAATCATAGCAAGAATACTGCAGGGCAGAGCAACATTTGCAAGTCACATGTTGTAGAAATATTCCTGATTTATTGTATCAAAAAGAACACAAATATGAAAATGAAACTACAAATTCCAAACATCATTAGAAAAATTGGGTAGAAACTGAGGAAGGAGATATCTGGATACAGAAATTAAAAAAAAAAAAAAGAGGGAAATGACTCTTCCCAAAATTGTGGAAAATGTAATTTCATGTGATGGTTTTGATGACTATCAAGTTTCAAGAGATATTGTTCAAAAATTGAGGAAGGCTATCTATGTACAAAATAAACACGGTAATATTCAAACTATGGTCTATGAGAACAATTTCATATCATAGATATCAAACCTATCAAATCTGAAAGAAATTTGTTGAAAACTGAAAGGGGATGTTCTAGGACAAGATTACCATCACAAAAACAAAAAGGGGCAGAAACTCTACCAAATATAGTCCAATCCAACTGCGAAACAATATTTACATTATGATAATGATCATTCTAAATACAGGCAAATCAAATAGAATTTCTGGAAAATGCAATTGCATGATCATGTACTGGTGATCAACCAAGATCCATGTTATGAAAAGCAACAATTAGGGCAGTAACTTTGAACACTGTCTCCAGACAATATAAACATTATGAAAACAACATTGGCAGTAACTCTTCAAAATACAAACTGCTGGTCAGGAAAACTCATGTGATGGTGATTAAGCCTAACAAGTTTGAAAAAGATCTGTTTATACTGTGAGGGAAGATCTCCACACAAAAGTTTGCAATGGACAGACAATGCTGTACCATAATATGTCATGTTAAAAATTTTGATAGGTGTATATAAAGGCAGATGTGACTAAAACAAATGGTTCTAGAATATCAATACCAGTAGGAAGAGAAAGCAGTTGTGATTTCTAATGCAGGTATAGGTAGAGTGATTGTGTCTGTGGTTATAGGTAGAGTGATTGTAAGTGTCTGTGGTTATAGGTAGAGTGATAATGTCTGTGGTTATAGGTAGAGTGATTGTGTCTGTGGTTATAGGTAGAGTGATTGTGTCTGTGGTTATAGGTAGAGTGATTGTGTCTGTGGTTATAGGTAGAGTGATTGTGTCTGTGGTTATAGGTAGAGTGATAATGTCTGTGGTTATAGGTAGAGTGATTGTGTCTGTGGTTATAGGTAGAGTGATTGTGCCTGTGGTTATAGGTAGAGTGATTGTAAGTGTCTGTGGTTATAGGTAGAGTGATCGTGTCTGTGGTTATAGGTAGAGTGATTGTAAGTGTCTGTGGTTATAGGTAGAGCAATTGTGGCAAATCCAAAATTTACTAATAAATTACAGACTGTTTATTATAAAAAAAAGTTTTCTCATTTGGTAGTTGCAAACTGTTTTGTTACCTTGTTGAGGTGGCGTAAATTGAAAGTCAGGGCGGTACTTCCTCAGCTTGGCATTGCTGGCTGTCTTTTTGTACTGACCATCAGACTTTGTTGTGTCATACACTACATTTCCCTTGAATTCCATGGCGTCAACCACCATCTCAGCTGCGTCCTTAATGCTAATTTCATCCTCCTCTCCCACTGTAACACATGTATTAAAGAATGTAGCAAGATTGAATAACTGAAAGCCTTTTATCTTGCAATCTTGTGGAAAAATCGTTCATTGTCACCGATCTGTGAAGTTGTAACAGATTTCTAAGAAGTATAAATAACATCAAAGAAAAATATCAACATGTCAACATAATCATATTTCATAATTCCATAAAACTAGGAAAAAATTTTGATCAAAAGAATGATTTACATGGAGACTCCTGAAAAAGTACAAGGAGAATAAGACCAGGTGTTCTGGAAGGATAAGCCTCTACTGCTTCATTGACGACGCCCACCATTTAAACCTTGATCAATCCAAGTAAGTAATGTGACATTCTCAAAAGAGGACAAGATATACCACAACAGAACCAACAGGCAAACTAACCAGCATCAAATACATCCAGCTTCATAAGGCACAAAGAAATAGAACATTTCTCAATGAGATCACTACTACGACCATAAAAGTTCCCCATAATTTTTATCGACAAGCATATTTTATTCCTTGCTTGACGAGTTTGTCAGTCAGTTGACAAAAATCGTAATGGGAACAGGCCCTTGAATATGAAATCAACTGTGACTGTGAAGCCCTGCTAATTAGGAGACAGATCTCATATTCCATAACAATAGACCTCAGAGTGATCTCAGTGCCCACCATTTCTCCACTGTTCCCTTTTCTTCTTAATCATTTGTTAGAGAAGAAAGTCTGCATATGAAATCTAAGAAATATCAAACAAGAATTCTCTGAGAAAAAGTGATAACAAAACTTCCACTAAAATCCAAGATGGCCTCCAGTCAGTTATTTGGTTTTCTTGAGCAGACAAAAACTGAATGGCACAACTTGAAACCATGGGAAACCTACACATCATGTTTGAGAAACATATCCCAAATACTTTAATGTAAAAAAATAACAATAGCTAATTTTTAACTCTCAAAATCAAAGAGAGCTTTCCTTGGCCATTTTGTTTCATTGATCAGACTGAAATTCCAAAGGGCACAACTATAGACAATGGGGAACATACACATACCATCCTGTACTTCTGAACAAATTAGTGGTACCAGCCACTTTGTTTTGATCAGACTCTGAAGGGAATCTACATACAAAGTTTGAGAAATATCATCCCAGTATTTATTTTTTACAGACAGAAGAAGGATGATATGAAAAAGCCCTCTTTTTGATAATGGTAGGACAAAAATAAGCTTTGTTGCTGACATAAAGAGAAGAAAAGTTTCATGCTGAAGCCAGATGGGGACAGATGGATAGAGTTTATCACCACATAACATGTCAAATGTTTTATACCATCACAAATACATCTGAATAACTTTGTAGCAATGCATTCAAATTATTTGTGTAATATGTCTACCAGTATGTGTGTATACACTTGCCATTCACTGATTGTACATATGCAAAACCTTACCAGAGAGAATAATGGGGTCAACTTCTGGATAATCCCGAAGAACCCAAATTATCAGTGCACCAAGATCTACAGAGTAGATGAACTGTCGGAGTGGAGAGCCTGTACCCCAAACTGTGAAATCTGTGTTGTCCTCTGCAACAAAGTACAAACAAATAGTATTGTAATAATTTTAGTCAACAAATAATAATTTCTGCTTAGTACTATATTTTGGACTGTCATGTTGAGAATATATTGAGTATATATACATTTATATACAGGTAGCCTTTATATAGAGGTTTAATTACTATGGATTGCATAACAAAGGGAACCAAAAAGTGCCCTTTATAGACTGGTGGCCTTTATATAGAGGTTTAATTACTATGGATTGCATAACAAAGGGAACCAAAAAGTGCCCTTTATAGACAGGTGGCCTTTATATAGAGGTTTAATCACTATGGATTGCATAACAAAGGGAACCAAAAAGTGCCCTTTATAGACAGGTGGTCTTTATATAGAGGTTTAATTACTATGGATTGCATAACAAAGGGAACCAAAAAGTGCCCTTTATAGACAGGTGGTCTTTATATAGAGGTTTAATTACTATGGATTGCATAACAAAGGGAACCAAAAAGTGCCCTTTATAGACAGGTGGTCTTTAACATGGGTTCTATAAACACAGATGTGAAACTTGACCCAAAAGAAATTCTAGAGTATTCTTTATTGGAATATATCACTGTGGAAATATAATCACATCTGGCTGTTAACTTATATGTTTTAGTAGTAATTTTATTTCAGCACATTTTGTGCAGAAAGTAATGAACTAAAATATCTTAATTATTGCAGTACCCTTACACTGATTATATGGTAATAATTATGGAAATGGGAATTCAACAATTCCCTAATTTCATTAAAATGTGATAACACGCTAAAATCTGAATGTGCCTCTGTTTTATAAGCGGGATACCTTGTGTTAGAAAGTTACTGGGTAAATGGAACACAGGTTGAATGGACACTGAAATGTGATAATGCACTAATATTTGAATGGCATGCCAAATTAAGTGCATCACATAACCATAACCATCTCTCTGTTAATAAGAGGGGTACCTTGTATCGTTGGAAAGAGAAAGACATCTACCGGTGTAACAGTTAACAAAATTACAGAACTACTTTGTATCACGTCCCACCAAATGTTTTATTAGTGTACCTAAAGCATGATATAGAGCAAGATTTTACCCACTAAAAGTGCTTAAAATAGCTTACAACCATTGTATGTTTTCACATTAAAAAATAGAACAAGAGGCCCAAGGGGCCTGCATCACTCACCTGGCTAAATTAACTATTCAGCCATAAAAAGAATTTCATACATGACATCTAATTTCCGGTAAAATTTCCTTATTGGGTCCTGGTCCTCACAATTTCCTTGTATGGAAGAAGGATTTTTAAGACCTTACATTTTCACAATTGGGACCACCACTCTCACCCTAGGGTTCCAGGATGCACCATTTATACAGCAGTGATTCCCATTCACCCAAGAATACTTCAGACCAGGCAATATCCATATATACCTAAAGGAGGAGTTGGATTTTAAAGAACTTACTCTTATTTCCCCTATTGAGACTCACCTCTCCTGTCCCAGGAGGCTGAGATCGTCTTTACTAGACTGATTCCCCTTTATGCAAGAATGTTTAAGACCAACTTCGGGCAATATCAATTCATTTTTAAGGAACTTGCAAAACTTTCCCTTTTGGGCTCTGCCCCTCCAGCCCCTCAGAGCTGAGAACCAATCTTTATTCAAACTTGACTATATAACCAACTATGTATATCAGGACTTACTCTTGGCATAGTAGACCTTGCGTATAAGCCCCGGGAGTACATGACCATCCTCTAGGTTAAAGTTGTCAAAAGGGCCATACACATTGGTGGGGATGACAGCAGTAAAGTTACAGTCATACTGTGCTTTGTAAGCCCTGGAAAAGTTCAAATTAACATATACAGTCTAGAACATGCTTTATTTTGGTAAATGTACATTGCCATGGATAACAACATATATATGTACAGCAAAATATTCAAGTGTTTTTAAAGGCTAAAATTGTTTATGTCAATACCTCTTACCACACACCCTCACTATGATTCATCAAAGTTTGTGTAATATGCATACTGTTCAGCAAACGCATGTCAAAAATCTATTTTTAGTAACTGTGACCTTGACCTTGTGGCTAGAAGTTTAAAAATGGAAACTTATTGAAGATGACTGGCATTCAACAATTATCTATATATAGTTTAATGAACTAAAAATAAAGACATGTCATACATTATGGTGATAGAGTAGCTTGTCCCTTAGAATTTTTTTCATCTCTCTTGCTGACCGGATGGGAATATAGTCATACCAAATTTGGTATCTCCGTCCTAGATCTGAATAAAGCAATTCCTTTTGCACTTTCAGTTGGAGCTATTGCAAATTTGATACACAGTGTTTATATGGCACGAAAAAAAAGAAGTTTCTCATTCATTTTTCCACCCTTTTAGGAAAATTGTTCTCCGTATACTTTTTCAATTTATGAAAGACTTGAAATCAACTCCCTCCACAATTTTAGTCTGATTCACTTTCAATTTGGCACGCATGCACAGTATTGATATATGGCAGGAATATCTGCACCAGCCACTTTCATGCAATTTTAAGGAGTTTTGTCCCTTGCAATATTCATTATCACAGTTAGGAAAAGTCAATGAAACTGAATTGGTAGACAGTATTGCTATGACATTAGAATTTTCATCTGTCATTTCATGCATTTTCCTCCTCTATTTTGGAGAGTTCTACCCCTTTTGGTGGAACTTGGTACTAATGTAGCTTCTGACTAGTAGGCCATCAGGGATAAAAACAATGTTGTTTTTTTTTATAAACATGTGAAACTATTAGCAAAGGATGCTGACAAATACATGCATCTAAGTACTTGTAGATAATTTGATAATTGTTTATGGAGTTTATAGGGAGTGTATATTTAGTACAAATTTACAGAAAATATCATCATTTAGAAACTCCACCATACAGCTGTTTTAATAGATGATAGCACACAGCATAATGGTAAATGACAAAAATTAAAAATCTACTTGTTCTAGGTATTTGTTTTCATATGTTAACAGTCCACTGTGCTGTACATTAGTGTGTCATAATGACCAGACATCTGTGACTACATTTGTACAGTGTCACATTGATCCAGACATTGATCCTGTTACTCTAATTCGTAGTCACATCTTAATGTATGGAAAATCAATTCATGACAGCTGAATAAAAAAAAAAAAAAAAAAAAAAACAATTAAATACTGTTTCATCACGCTAAAATTATTTGACAAGTTAACTGATAGTCAATATTCTTTTGATGTGGTATTCTGCAGCATTAATAATTTGGTGTATTCCATAAAATGTTATGAAAAAGATGTTTGCTGTTGAGCTCTAAATTAGATGATTATTAGTACTATATAAGGACTGTTATATAAACACTGATAATTACTTTATTCAAAATAAACACACAAAACTTCCAAAAATGATATTATCTTCATTAGTTCATGGTTCAATTGCTTTCCTAGCACATCCATCCATATATATTTTATGTGTGATTTCTTAGAGTATAAATCATACCTTTGATTTTTTTAAGTTATCTTCCTTCAATCAATCACATGGGTAATCAATTCTTTTGTACCTCTTAAATGTGTACTGGCATATGCATCATTTGTCCTTTCAAAAGGTATAATATTTCAAAAGTGTCATCAATTCTTGTGTAGCTTCCAATATATCATCAATTCTTGTGTAGCTTCCAATATATCATCAATTCTTGAATACCTTTCAAATGTTTCATCAGTTTTTGTGAACTTTTCATATCATCAACTCTTGCTTTAAACTTTCAAATTAGTAATCAGTTTTCAGAAATCTTTCAAATGTCATGATTACTTTTGGAAAAAATACATGTCTGAATAAGCTAGTATGACTCATTAAGCCAACACATGGTTATTCAACATGAGACAAATTACCTGTTATACACGTCAATCATTCTCTTGGCATAGGAATATCCAAAGTTAGAATCATGGGGAGGACCATTGTGTACCTGTTGAAAAGTTTAGAAAAAAAAAAAAAATCTATATTTAAATACGAAATTACAAACTGGTTGTCTTGTTGATCTGCAATTACAAAATCAGATATAACTCATTTCCATAAAAAAATATTGTTGGACTAAGTCAAAATTCATTTCACCGATACCAAAAGTCTCGCCTTACGAATATTAGCAATAGATGGATTTATACAGTCATTTTTATAAAAGTAAAAGAAGAATAAAACCAAGTGTTGTTTGAAAGTTTAACAGTTTTCTGCTAATCTGACAACATATGCCATGGAAATCGTGGGTCAATACCATTAATGTCAGGTTCTCAAAATGAGAACCAAGTAATCAAAACCATCTGAAATACTAATAAGCCTCACACACATTTAACTTCACAGATCATCACATAAGGTTGTGGCAGTCTGATTGCTTTGCTGACTCGTACATTGCACCCACTTCAAGATTTTGGAGATATCATACAATGCCTTAATATGCCGTTTGTACCTATTGTTGTCATACTACTGAATTTCACATCTGTAGATTTGTGTGATCACTTACCATTGTTTCATCAATAGGGTAAGTAGTTTTGTTTGGGAAGATACAGGTTGATAAACAGGATACCACTTTCTTGACCTTTTTTTCTTGACATGTGTGTAACACATTGTCATTAATGATTGTGTTACACCTCTGAAAGAACAAATACATTAATGATAAAATGTCAAAACCAACAAGAAAACTGAAAATTCAGCAGGAACTCATATATATAGATATATATATATATATAACCCTAACTCATGAATCAGGTAGTAAGTGGTCAACTTCAGTCTTGGCCAATGACCACCAAAATCTGACCAAATTACAAATATGGTCAAGTGTTTGCTTCTTTTCTAAAACACATTAATGGTTGTCTGGATAAAATTTAGTTGTTGTGAAGACAATACCATATATTCTGAAACTCATCATATACAGAATGATTAAGTTAGTTACGTATGTTTAAATACGTACATTGATGCTGTCAATCACTTGACATGCCCCCCCACTCGGATTCATAGCAATCCTTGTTTACAACCATGAGACAGGCTTAATTTGGTTATTTACATAGGTCAAGATGCACAAAGAATCATTTGTAAACATCTCTTAAGTGTTGCTTGTGTGTATCAACTCGGAACCTCTGGCTAACTAGTCTGACGCTCAACCAATCAAGTTAAAGAAAAGTTCTCTTTAGCTAAGCATTATAATGTGGCTAGTATTTTACCAGGCTAATAACGAACTTTATCATTGATAAAAAAAACACATAGAAACTAAACTTGTTTCAATATATCACGATATATTGTTCATATGTAATACAGAACTACAGTTTACTGACATGACAGATTCTGTGACATGATAGACAATAAACTTGACTAAGCTTTCTCTTTAACCTAGCTGAATAAGATTGCGTCTGATTACTCCAAATCTGATTGTAAGACTTACAAGAAAGTCAAGGTTGTACTTAAGGTTTCGGAAAAGTCCACCAACCATGGCAGCTAAATGAATCACGTGTGTTGGTTTGTGTTTTTCAAACAGCTTTACAGTCGCATCTTTGTCCCTGAATGTAGAAGGAAGCGATGTCAAAAGATATATTGAAAATATTGTATCTAATCACTAACATTTGTTGAAATAAAAGTCTTTCCTATCATAACATAAGGAATTAAGCTGATTTTTATCATGAATGAAAGCAACTGCATATTCTGATAGGATTCTGAATATCTAATACCAACGTAATAAAAAAATATATACATACACCAGTACGATCAATTTTTGTTGTTGTTGTTGTTAAATTTTGCCATTTTATATACTAAACAAGAGGGCCATGGCCTTTTGTCATCTGACAAATGATGAATGGATGGACATACCACAGAATTTGCTGATGGTGGTCGGACAATTCTGATGAGTTCAAATTTTGAACATTAATTCTTTAAAAGTATGAGGAGCTCATAAATGGTAGATTTGTTCATGTACAATCATGTTACAAAAACAGCTACTGCAGTTACCATACTGAAGTTTTGATAAGGCTGAAAAATAATAACAAAACATCCCTTTCTTTTCCTTAACACATCTCTAAATATTGTTCACACTGATGTGAATGAAACTTGAGAATAGTTCAGACTATTTGTTCTACAGGAGTTATGTTGGATTTTGGACCAAAGTGAAACAAATCAGATTTGGTCAGGACAATCTCTGGATCACTTCATGCACGTCCGATATCATTGCCACTCCCTGATAATGTTTCAGGTCAAATTTAGTTGAAATATACACGGGCATTAAGAAGGAGTAGTGTTTTGGAGCAATATATAGTCTAACTTCCATATTATGGGCCCTGCTCTAAAGTCTATATGGGTTAAATCAACTCTCTGAATGTTAGATATGATTCTCTACCCTCATTGATGTTTCAAACCATATTTGGTTTAAACCCATTCAAGCATTAAGAAAGAGTAGCATTTTGAAGCACAATATTGCCCTCAGGTCCCTAGAGATCAAATCAACTTTCTGAATTTAAGAAATGCTAACCCATCTGCAATAAAGTTTCAGACCAAATTTGATTGAAATTTACCCATGCAATAAGAAGGAGAAGCATTTTGAAGCAAAATATTGTCTAATTTCCCCTATGGGTGGAATCAACTTTCTATATTTAAGAAGCAATTCCCCATACCAAATGATGTTTCAGACCAAATTTGGTTGAAATACGTCAAGGTTCTAAACAGGAGTAGTGTTTTAAAAAGTTTACGGATGGCACATAAAGTAAAAGTTATTTTTGTATACTTACATGAGATCTGCATCCTTGGAACTTACGAAAATCCATTTTTCATCATCACGTTCAAGTGTGGAATCCCTAGCCAAAGCCAATTTCAAACCATTACCCACCAAACCAGAACCTCCTGTTACAAGCACGACTTTCTTCTCAGCCATCTTTAGATTTGTATTTCTGAAATTTACATAAGGACATAGCAGTTACCACACAAAGACTAAAAATCTTACACTGATGGTTAGATACACCATAAAATGACTACCCTGAAAACAAAGACAAAAATTATAAGAAACAAGACTTCCAAATGCCAATATGTCAGTCCAATGGTTGGAATATGTTTGTTAAGAAATATCAAATTCAAAACAGAAATGAGGCATTGTATTATTTAACTATTTCGGACAAATAATTTGATAGCAGCTTCAACTGTACTTTCCCAAAGCACAATTCCACATGCAGAATTTTCCAGTCAGCTCTCTCCAAGTTGGGGAAACCTTGCTGAATCACAGTTTTCTTTTATGTCTGCTGGCTCCTACATCATGAGGTATTCAAATACTCAGTGCACTTGTGATTTTAACCACTTTCTATCTTTATTTCATAATTTTCATTTTTCTTCTGAAATAAATATACATGTTTACCTTCTGCAATTCATTGACTTCAACCAAACAGACACTGGGTCCAGGCTCATGTAGAACTTTTGTATAACAATTGACTGTTTATCAGCGTAAATTTTCATAAAACATTTACATTCTGTTTTCTTGTTACTGTTTACAGATTGCATTTTCTTTGATTTTTTTTTTCAGCATTAAGAGTAGTTTACACAATATTTATATGTGACAGCTGATGATAAATCTATTTCTAAACTTTTCATGGATTTTTTCATCTTTAAGGGTAGTTACGCAAAACATGTGACAGCTGGCAATAAATCTGTTTGCCACACAAAACTTCATATTGATTATTTGTAACTGCATCATGTATTTTCTAATATGCAAAAGTTCATCTTATCAGTAACAGCAGACAAGATTGTAGTTCTTTTCTGCCAACTAAACACTGGTATATTTTTCAATCATTGTCAAGTCTGCCTGAGGCGCTCCCTTGCCTAGTTTATCTGTTTCAGTAATTTTTGTTGGGCTCTTTCAGCCGAGTCAAAGATTCCAATTTCCAACAAGTTTTACAAGACACATTTTACGAGATATACCAAGTTCTCAAAAATAAGCAAGATCCGCTGGAAATACACCGGTCCAAGACGCAAGTATCTCAAATATCCATGTCTTAACTATCACTTCAATTATTAAAAGATGTTGTCTTGTTTTATCTTAATTAGCTCTGTCACCCAATCATATTTTTTCAAATCTAATTTCGGTAATAGAAATATAAGGTAGGATGCTTTGAGATTTGAATTTGTCGAGGATATGTTTTTACATCTTGGGATGATGAACCATTCACAGTGTTACTAGCAGCCAAACCGTCAGTTGCAGCTTCCAAGAATTATGAAGAGGTATAATAAAGATATAATGAATGAAGCAGCGTATACAATGACAAATATGAAGTGGTTTATCTAGTTGTGTATACGTTTTATTCTTTTATACGTTTAGCGACGTGAAAAAGATTGTAACGTGAATAACCTTTAAAGTTTTGACCCTTCCACTCTTGTTTTAGATTGTTATGACCAGATATTTCACTCTGAGAAGTTGGCAATACTGATATAGAAACTGGTGACTTTGCTTCTAGCGATTACATAACCTGAATGCAACCAACTGAGGGTCAACATTGTCACTTTTAACTGAATTTGAATTTCCTTCATTTACATATGTAAATGACATGTAACATTTGTTAATAATTGTAATAATCATCAATCAAAGAACTAATTTGCATTGTACTTTTTCCCTATACACAACATTTTGCTTCTTTTCAATAAGAGTTATGCCCCTTCCACATTTTTCCGAATTAATATCATTTTCTAAATTTGCAGTGAAATCTATTGCTTCTTTTAAGAGTCATTACTTGAAAGATAACAGCAATTATGCATTACGACCCCAAAAAAATAAATGTACAGGACCAGATTATTTGTTCATTGTACAAGAATAGTACTCAAATCCATTGTGACAATAGAAATTCTGATGACAAACTAATTTCAGCTAAACGTCACGATGCTTAGGCTAGTGTTATCGTACGCCTTCAGTGTTAGAGGTTTACATGAAGATAATATTACCTGCAAAAGTTATAAGACCCGCTTTGTCTGCATAAAAGCACAAGCCCAGACGAACTGTACACAGCACAGAAGCAACGAGACTGTGCATTGTTTACATTCAATCCGATTCCAGATAGGTCTAGGAATAAAAAGACTGGTTTGATCCTTACATGGTCACAACTGCTAATGCTATGGTACTTCATGCCCCCACCCGCCCTCAACAAGCACAAACAATTCTACCATCTCTATCCACGGACTTCGCATAGATTCTATTCTAAGTCCATGCCCTAGGTTAGACGGTTTTTCATGGCATTTCCGTGTCGGAAAAAGGGCGAGGTTAGGCCTACAATTGGAAAATATACACTAACTGGCCTGAGAAAATTGTGGTAACTTTCTGTGATCAGCAGAATCTATACACCACTTAACTTGTTTTACAATAGTATTACCTGTCCCGAGCGCAAAATGAAAGGCCTGTGTTTTCTGAGTCCCCTAGCGACTGCACCGACGCTGTCCAGGAATGCCACGTGAATCGTGATTTGGCCGCTTAGGACATCGCTAAAAAAATCAATGTCATAAGCGGCTAAGACACAGGCAGCGCACTGTGGTATAAATTTTATGTGTACATTGTAGAATCTATACCAGTGACAATATTTATTTCATTATCATATTACCACATGTGAATAAACACAATTCTTATTACAACGCGTAAGAACGAGGTATGGATACGTTCAATAAGATGTCTTCCAGTTTTTTTATTCACATACATGCAGCCAGGTTTTATTATTATCAATGCACCGTTTTAAGTAAGTCAAGAGCACGACATTTTTTCTTGCCTGCACGAGAGATTTTTTAATCTACCAAATCATAATTCTGCAATACATTTTTGAAGCGGTCTCTTGATATTCAGATTATTAAATATTTTCCTAAACAGTTCTTTGTGTAATAGCCAACACTGATGTCCTGAACAAGAAGATCCTCACTGATATGACCACTCACTTTGAAAATAATTTTCACTTTGATGTTTTTTTTTTCTCCTCCGAAGCGCATTATTTGTGGGACATGCTCAACACACGTTGAAATAATAATAATGATAATGATAAAAGAATTGCGTTAAAAATGGCCAGGTTCACGCACTTTGAAAAAACTTAACATGGTCCAATATTTAAGGCAATATGAGATATTTTTTCAGTCTTTGGCGCGGTTTGATAAAACGGAGAATAACCAGGGGCGTAGCTTCCATAGAAAGAAAAAGCCCGGGCTTTCACATAAAAAAATCCGTGCATAGAGTATGTCGGAAAAAATTACAGAACTTGGGTTGAAAATAAATATCTAATATTTTTGATAAATAAAAAAATATAAATAGAAAATTATTGAATAACTAGGCCTAGTGCATTACGATTCAAACGATTTCAAACATCTTTGAAATCATGAAATTCATTTTCCGTCGGGGGGCTTCGCCCCCTGATCACCCCACCAGAGCCCTGCCCTGGACACGCTGGGGGCCTAGGCAGCCCCTCAGACCCCTCGCCTGAGCTTACACATTTCTGCTGGACTAGCTACGCCCCTGATAACTAACTTAAAAAGTAAGTGCGTAGCTATCTCAGAGTGGGTTGCATTAAATTAAATTGACATTTTTGAAGCGATTTGAAAAAAACACAACTCAAAGTAAGTACGTTGAATTTGTTCCAAAATTATTACGATTTGAAAAAGAAAAGAAATTTAGAATACGCTTTATTCTTAAAAGGGGTTGTCATGGACAAAGCAGTGTTATTGGTCAATCAAAAACATAACATTTGAATGTGTAATATCACTAAATGGAATTAATAGTGAAAAGATGTTCACAATTAATGAAATATTTCACGAAGACATAAGTACATGCGATCACAATTTCAATTAAATGCCGAATCAAACTACGTCATACAGCTGATTCGTCCTGCTTGTCTGTAATGCTAAGGGCGTACACTTCGAAACCTAAAAATCGACGGAGCAAATTAAAAATGAATCGAAAGAAATGTGAAAACCTAGTTGGGGAGGTGCAATAGTCCAGTAGTGCCTACGTGTACAAGTATATTCTGAAATGTGTCACTATTCGAATTAATGAAAACGTGGCATGCAGGTTACATGAAATCACGGGGAGTAAAGATCCACCAGCAGTGTCAAAGATTTTACAAAAGACACACGTTTAGAACCACTGGCAAAGTAGCACCTCTAAGTGGAAGCACTGAAACACGTATCTCCCAAATTTTTTATTGAACATTTGAACATTTCTTTGAAATGTTACGTTTTTTTAAGAACGTCTATCAGCGCCTTCATCTCGATTCAGAAGTGGCCACCGTGGCATCGTCTAAAGTTCTTTCGTTCTATCTAGTGCAGTCGGCCACAATTTCTCTGAATCACTGTAGACTCCTCTCAAAAATAACACGTTTTTTCTGTGTGATATTCCTGTATTATTCACCACGTCTTGATACAAAATGTATTGGTGGAGATCCTTGTCAACAGGCGATATAATGTATCTACGGCCATCTATTCTATAGAGCATGAACAAAACAAAGAAACAAAAAACAAAAAAAAAAAAAAACAAACAAACATCATTAATATTCTTAAATTTTATTGTACAAAAACTTCATGTAAAACACTTAGACCGTAAAATAATTCGTTTCTCTGTCCTTGCAGACTTTTCAAAACCTCATCTCTGATCAAAACGCAACCAGCACAACGTAAAACTATTGAAGCATGCAAACAATTGTTTATGTAAACACTACGTTATACAAACTTATGTATTCTATTTCATTTCTTATGCAAATCTCACTTTGGTATTTAACAAAGACCTTTAACACCAAATTGTAAATCGTAAGAGAAATCTAGAAACGGCCAGATAATGTTTCCAATACTGTAAAGCCAAGGACTATAGGCAACCTGTGTTCCCTGTCATTCGAAGAAACATATTATCACATTTGTTGATCGACAGGAAAACTGGACTGGTGATATTGGGCGTTTATCTTTATTTGCAGTTTCGTCTTAAGTTCTTTAATTAAAGATAAATTTTATCCCTGCTCTCAAAAAGATTTAGATTGTTACAAAAAAAAATCTATAGATCGGTCGATTAACCATGGATGAGCTGTAATTTCGATGTAGATAACATTTAAAAATACGGTCTAATAACAGCAATACAGATATTATATAATAACAAGACATTTTAATCAAAATGATAAACATGTATCCACCGGAAATTATATTACTTGCTATATTAAAAGAACGGCGAACAAAAAATTCAAAATTTATTGACTAAAGGTTTTTAATAAAGAACTTGAACTTGAAGCCAAGTCCATGATTAAATCGATACTTTTCTTTGGACAAAGTAGCAAGTTTCAGCGTTTCCTATGAATATTGTGTACCTTAAAACTAAATATATAAGTATATTATATATTATTAAATACTTTGTATTAGTATATAGATTATTAATTAGACAAAAATCCCATACATATCATTTCCCGACACATTTTGCTTTCATGAATTATAAAGTTGGGGAAGGGCACAGCTTGCTAGTATAAATTCGCTGTTTACGAAATTGATAATTATTGTCAATTATTGAACCAATTTAGTTTGATGTCTAATCAGACTTTATCATCTTAACATTGTTAAAAACAATACCAAAATAAAACAGGAATGAAAAGATATAAAATTAACGATTCAAATAATAATAAATTATAAATAAATTTTCTGTTATTGTTTCAGTCAATGACAAATATGTTTACCAATGCGAAAAAACTTTTGGTTGTAATATTCACCCAATCCCCACTGTCTGATTTTTTAAAATTTTTAACTAAATCTGATGAGGAAGTTCATAGGATATCTCGCACAAAACCTTTTCATTTCAAAAGTGATTGAATGTGACGTTTGACTTTAAACCTTTAAGGATGAGCACCAAATTGTGAGCAGGTGAAGCTACAGTTACACTATTTGTGAGGGATACACAAAGCTTTTATTCCTTAGTGCCATACGAGACTTTTAATCTTAAATGATGAACACCAAAATGTAAGCATGTACAGAGCATGCTACTGGGATGTTTTGTTGAGAATTTGAACCATCGAACCAGGTGTACAATTTAAGAGTGGTATGATTCTAAGGGGTGAATGAACTAACACTGTTGACGGGTTTGTCTATCTTGAATGCAAGCGTTGTGCTACGTTTACAGGGAAAGATGGATGAACAGGCGAAACGATTACTATATAACCCTATAACCAAGCAATTGAGGGTATCATTCACATGTAATACTGTAAAACCATATATTTTCGTTGTGCTCAAATTTCGTTGTTTTACAAAAATGATAATCATTAAGGAGCCATAATCTGATAGGTAGAATCATAAACACAACCAATCGATGCAAAACTGATACATCATTTATTGCTGATTTATTAATCATCAACTTATATCTATACATCATCATAATGGAAAGAATGCGAAGAAAATGGTTTTTGCATGAAATGATGATTGGCGGGGTCACGGAAATAGATGAAACGACATTGACTTGATACATTTATTCTTACATCAATCAATTCTAAAGTAGCAAGAGTGATAACAGGGATAGAAAAAGATCAAGATATTAAAAAAACAAAACAAAACAAAACAAAAAAAAAAAAAAAAAAAACCAAAAAAACAGCTGGCATTCCACATTCTCCAGGAGAGTGGCCCTGGAACTATTTTCCTAAAATAAAAATATGAAATAATATATTTCTAAAAACAGCGACACATGACATATCAGATGTAAAATGCAATGTACGTGTGTTATCTATGTGTATCAATATATAGAGTTTTGTTAATATTAGCAAATTACATTTCATTACACGTATTAACAGATATAATCTATTATATATCTTTTAGATGTAATTCATATTTTATTGACATAAACACTGTTTTACTATCATAAAATAATAACAATATATGAAAGTACAAAATGCATATCATCAACTTACGATTGAAGAGTATGTCATTGATAAAATCAGGTGAGTAGTTATCACGAAGATATCTGCATCTAGGGGCCCATCTCACGTGCATCACAATAGGAGTCTCGTCCCAAACGTACAGACGGAGGCCACAATGATAGCATTCCGCCTGATCGCCGTGTCCTTTGGGAACAAACACAAGAAGTTATATAAAACGATGAATTACAAATACTGAATTGAATATGATTACGATATAAACACTCGACAGTTACCGAATTAAAATCTTAAAATCAGGATTGAATAAATCTCGAGACATTTGGTGGGGACTAAAAGAAGAAACTTCTCATACACCCCTCCCATCCTATCTCTAATACCAGTCTCCGAGATGATATCACTCTATCACTTAATGTGCGATATTGTGATGTTCACATGGGGCCTAGCTATAAGATGATATACACCCACATCTTCACACCCCATCATGCACACTTTCACAAACACACACCATACACACACCACCATACACACATACACCATACACACACCACCACACACACACACCATACACACACCACCACCACCACCACACACCCTCCATCACACACACAAAATGAAATAACATTATTGTTTATTGAAACAGGTCTACAATATAATTGTATATGGATACCTTTCAGGTCATCTATACTTTGTCATGTACCTGTGGCAAAGAAACCCGCTCTAGCTTGGTCAGCACTCAGTTCTGCATTCAGTCCCAATCCAATGAATGATCTCAGGCGCTGTTCGATATCTTTCATGTCAGGAGAGCACGGATTGAGTCGTGATTGTACGACAGCTGACAATTCACACATGGTCATTCTCCGATATCTTGCATCATTGTACGTTCTGCGGTCCATTGAAGTCGATCCTACAACGTTAAATCGTGCATCATTACTAGTAACGTCTCGATCGACTTCGGAGTTCAGGTACTCACGCCGAAATACTTCTTGAAAGGTGGTTTGAAATTGGTGGATATTTATATAGTCTGTTCGGTTTGGAAAAGGATGGAAACTAGTTGGTCCAAATTGTCTGATAGAAATTGACTGTGGCGAAAGGTCCCTGTGAAACGACACTCCCGGAAGTATTACTTTGCCGCCTCCTGTCTGTATTTCATAAACGTCCAAAGATCCGAATTGGAGATTTCCATCTGAACTTGAGAAATATATACTACCTAAATAAAGATCGTCACCATTAAAGTATCTGTTTGGCTGTAGACATGCAGCAGCAAACATAAAGATCTTCAGCTTCAAATACTCTCTCAGCATGAAACATGTCTCTCGTACACATTCCACGGAACTGCTTTCAGCTTCCAAGACCCTTGCTTGATCTTCTGGAGTTATTCGTTCCGCCATTGCCTAAATGAGAAAAGGGATAGTTTTGAAATTATTTGATTCGTAGAGTGAAAACGCCTGTCAACAGTGAGGGTCATTTGGTTGAATAACACATTTTGATATCAAAATAGACTGATATCATATGGTATATTGAAATGACAATGTGTCAAACAAGGAAGAAAAGGGGAAACGAGCAGCCTATTCATAACAGGTATAGTTAACAAGCCAATCTCAGTCTCTTACGTAATTCAACATCCAGTTCCAGATCCGGGGGCTTGAAACGTTTGTTACGGTTATGTAAAAACATTTGTGCAGTCAGTAAAACATGTACCACTGCAAGCGTGAGTTTAATAGATCACAGGATGGTCTTCACCCAGCATAAAAATAAATTGGTAAGATATGCTGCCCTGTTCGGAGCCGCAAAAGGCAACATACTCTCTGCGGTTTGCTCTAAAGGGGAAAATGATAGGTTTACCACCTCCTGTGTATTTCTTTCGCACAAGTACGAAAAATATCGAATTATTGTCATATGTGTGAAATATATGATGTTTAACGGGAAATTAATAAATTTTCTGTTGATAACTTTAAAAAAGAATTCAATCCAAACATCAGACAAATTTGTGTCTGAAAGACAGGTCGGAAGGCGTTATTTGTCTTTGACGTCTGATAGTTAAGACGTTACGTTTGACACGACAACGCCATCATAAAACGGACACTCTACACTAAATCCTACAATTTCACGCCGTTCTCTGGTAGAAATCGAAAACTGTTAATGGATATGAATTTAAAGAAAAGAAATTCCGCAGTGACCATAGCTATGTCGTCTATTAATTTTTTCTGCGAATTTCAATACAGTAAAGAGAAAACACTATTCTGATTGGCCAAAACTCAAAAAGGAAAAACGCTGAAAAACCACTCAAATACCAACTGATTAAGACTTGTGTGTGTGTGTGTGTGTATTTTTTTGAAATTTTGTAGAATTCTGTAAAAGGATTTGAAGTTAAAATCTAGGACTTTTTTTTCAAAGTGAGGGGAAATTTTATGCTTCAGTACAGAGTGACGCTATTACATAAAGGCATAATGACCTTATTGTGACACCAGGATGTGATAGTATTACACAGCTTTCAAATTCAGGCGAGGATTATTGTATTTCACTTAAGCGTTACTAAATTCGTCATTGTTTTTATCACAACGACATGCTTTATCTTTAAACAAACACTGCATTGCAAGATTGTGTGTTGAGTTTTTTTATGTGCGCATGTGTCATTGTACTAACTAAAAATCGGTTAAAAAGCTAGTTCGTGGAAACCGCCTACTCTATCAACGGTATCGGTGGTTGTAAGGCAAAGCAACAATGGGACCGTAGTGAATAAGGTAAGAAACATGTTTTATTGAACTCAAATTGTTAGACAGCATCAACACGTAAAGTGTGTATACAGTGAGAATCATGAAGACTACATAGCTTTTTTACATTGAATCACAGGTTGAAGTTAAAAACCTCATCTTTATATTTGTTGCCTGTGTGTGTGTACTAAACTGAAGATCTACGGTTCTGTATCTGTAAAAATAATGGGCCGATTTAATATGTTATTAATAATTCAACCCAAAAATGGTTGATTGATATCAGAAAATGACTCGTGCGTCGGTTTACTCTCACCTGAATATGGAATAAGTGCGTTCCGTGCGTTTAAAGATGTTGTTGATTTTTCAGTTTGTTTAAAATAAATTCTTGTTTGCCAAATAAGGATATTTACACTACCTATATAGGGAAATAAAGTGTTGATCGCTTGCTAACTGAATTGGATTGAAATTAGGTGTTGATCCACTGCATAAACGTGTAGAGTAGATTATTTTGAATTGATAACGATTCAGTTTAAGTTGACACTAGATAGCGTGACAACGTAAGGTCTACTATACTCGAAAGTAGGCCCCCTGCAGAGATTTGCCTTAGTGTTCTCTACTAAGAGGTTACTGAAGAGTTTGATATAGATCTGCTGCCACTATTTCATTACTTGGAATTTTTGTTTGCTCTTCCATTTTGTTTTATTTCTTTTTTGCTCCTGGTGTCTTCACACCTGTCTTTAAATGGTCATAGCTGTTACAAGGATTTTAAACATAAAGAGGATTTGATAAACGCACATAACAATGCATAGAAACAAACCGGTAGGTATAACCAAGGTTTACGTCGCCATATTGGATTAACACCATTTGTTCGATATAATGTGCATCCGGGTATCAATATTAATTCTATCTTTTTAAAAGTAAGATTTGAACGGGATCGATGCTGGCAAATTATAGACTAATTGAAGCAAGAAGTTTGAGTTCAATTAATATAGAGTGAGATTCCCAGACGACAGACTAATTTCTGTTTGCCGATATGTAGTGAGAGCATTGTTAAACACGTGGTGTAGCAGGTATCATTGTGGACACATAGGGACGTGGAAAACAACAAAACGGCATTGTTAGTAATGAACGTTCGTCTTGCGTACGTAAGGTTATGTTACAGTCATGTAGCCACATGTAACTTATATAAGTTGCTTTGTCATTTCTGTTTTCGTTGAATGTTAGTGACACAGATGACTGTAAATGCAATCCCGTTTGTGTCACCACCGCTTAAACCAAGGTTTATTTGCCAAAATATACGCTATCAGATAGCATTTAAAGCCGACTGTCAGTCAGATTATCGCATGCGTATTTGCAAGAGTCAGTATTGCAAAGCTTTCATACGATCATGCTCAAACGAGTTACCCTCTTAGCACAAATTTGATAACGATTGTTTTCCTCTCGTTTTTAACAAACAATTGTTTCTTTAAATAATTTTGTTTTTTTAACGTGAACGCACTTTTTCTTCGGTAAATATCTTTCTAGTTCCAAATGATGTTAAAATGCTGTTTACTTTCTGGGTCGTAATTAAGGTCATACAAACACAAGACGACGACGTCAATGTGGAATGGTGAATCGATACTGAATTTTTGTTAACCAGAGATATTTTCAGTTGGTAGAAGTTATGAATGTCTTTTATAATCCTTTCAAATGATATCTATGGGACATTAATCAATGATAAATTGAGGAAATCTCCAAATAAAGTAATGACTCCGATATAAGTGGCGATATAAGTAGGTTAAATAGAGATGAGGAAGTCAGCAAAGTATAGACGTTGAGGTAGGTAAAATATAGATGGGGAGGTTGGTTAAATAGAGATGAGGGAGTCAGCAAAGTATAGACGGGGAGGTAGGTAAAATATAAATGGAGAGGTAAGCAAATTATAGATGAGGAGGTTGGTTAAATAGAGATGGGAAGGCAGGTAAAATAAAGATGGGGAGGTAAGCAAATTATAGATGAGGAGGTTGGTTAAATAGAGATGAGGATGTCAGCAAAGTATAGACGAGGAGGTAGGTAAAATATAGAGGAGGATGTAAGCAAAATATAGATAGGGAGTTAAGCAGAAATAGATGGGGATGTAGGTAAAATATAGAGCGGGAGGTAAGCAAATTATAGATGAGGAGGTTGGTTAAATAGAGATGAGGATGTCAGCAAAGTATAGATGGGGATGTAGGTAAAATATAGATGGGGAGGTAAGCAAAATATAGATAGGGAGTTAAGCAGAAATAGATGGGGATGTAGGTAAAATATAGAGCGGGATGGGTGGTGGGCAAATAAAATAGAGGTGGGGAATTCGGCAAAATATAGATGGGGAGGTAGGCAAAATACAGATGGGGATAAGCAAAATATAGATGAGGAGGTAGGCAAAATATAGCTGAAGAGGTAGGAAAAATATAGATGGGGAGGTAGGTAAAATATAGATGGGGAGGTAAGTAAAATTTAGATGCGGGGAGATGTAGGTAAGATAAAAATGGGAATGTAAAGAAAATATAGATTGGGTGGTAGGCAAAATATAGATTAGGAGGTAGATTAAATGGAGATGAGGAAGTCGGCAAAGTATAGACGGGGAGGTAGGCAAATAGAAAGGGGGAGGGATTAGGCAAATTAGAGGTGGGCAGGTCTGCAAAATATAGATGGGAAGGTAGGCAAAATATAGATGAGGAGGTAAGCAAAATGTAGCTCGAGAGGTAAAATAAATTAAATATAGATAAGGAGATAGGTAAAATTTAAATGTGGAGGTAAGCAAGATATAGATAGTGAGGTAAGTAAAATAGTGATGGAGAAGTCGGCAAAATATAGATGGGGAGGTAGGCAAATATAAAGAACGGGGGGGGGGGGGTTTAGGCAAAATTTAGATCGGGTGGTAAGCAAATTAGAGATAAGGAGGTTGGTCAAATAGAGATGAGGAAGTCAGGAAAGGATAGACGGGGAGGTAGGTAAAATATAGAGGAGGATGTAAAGAAAATATAGATGGGGATGTAGGTAAAATATAGAGCGGGATGGGTGGTGGGTAAGTAAAATAGAGGTGAAGAAGTCGGCAAAATATAGATGGGGAGGTAGGCAAAATATAGATGGGGAGGTAGGCAAAATATAGATGGGGAGGTAAGCAAAATATAGATAAGGAGGTTGGTTAAATAGAGATAAGGAAGTCAGCAAAGTATAGACGGGGAGGCTGGTAAGATATAGATGTTGAGGTAGGTTTAATAGAAATGAGGAAGTCGGCAAAGTATAGACGGGGAAGTAGGTAAAATATAGATGGGGAGGTAAGCAAAATATAGATAAGGAGGTTGGTTAAATAGAGATAAGGAAGTCAGCAAAGTATAAACGGGGAGGCTGGTAAGATATAGATGTTGAGGTAGGTTTAATAGAAATGAGGAAGTCGGCAAAGTATAGACGGGGAAGTAGGTAAAATATAGATGGGGAGGTAAGCAAAATATAGCTCGAGAGGTAAGCTAAATTAAATATAGATCAGGAGATAGGTAAAATTTAGATGTGGAGGTAAGCAACATATAGATGGGGAGGTAAGCAGAAATAGATGGGGATGTAGGTAAATTATAGATTGGGAGGTAAGCAAGATATAGATGAGGAGGTAGGCAAATATAAAGGGGGGGAAGTTAGGCAAAATCTAGATGGGGTGG